AAATTGAGAAATTCGGAAATTCAGAAATTCAGAAAGTCGGAAATTCAGAAATTCAGAAATTCAGAAATTCAGAAATTCAGAAATTCAGAAATTCAGGAATTCAGAAACACAGAAGTGCAGAAATTCAGAAATTCAGAAATTCAGAAATTCAGAAATGCAGAAATTCAGAAATTCAGAAATTCAGAAGGGGAGAAATTCAGAAATTCAGAAATTCAGAAATTCAGAAATTCAGAAATTCAGAAATTCAGAAATTCAGAAACACAGAAATCCAGAAATTCAGAAATTCGGAAATTCGGAAATTCAGAAATTCAGAAATTCAGAAATTCAGAAATTCAGAAATTCAGAAATTCAGAAATTCAGAAATTCAGAAATTCAGAAATTCAGAAATTCAGAAATTCTGAAACTCTGAAATTCAGAAATTCAGAAATTCAAAAATTCAGAAATTCAGAAATTCAGAAAGTCAGAAATTCAGAAAAAAAAAAATCTTAAAATTTAAATTTTTCCAATTTCTTTCTTCCAATTTCCAAAAACAATTTTCAAAAAAAATTTCAGATTCAACGCTGAAACTGACAAGCGCTTCCTGCTCACCTGCATACCTGCCGCCCCAGTTCCAAAGTAACTTTTAATCACAAAAAAAATCGAAATTTCAAAATTTCAGAGAATCTCAAGTTACCGTATCCTTCGGTGGCATCACAATCAATTCAGATGCCACAACCGCAAGTAGTTTGCTGAATAATCAGGTTAGTGAACATCTGGACAAAAAGATGAACCAAAAGAAAAATGAAATTTTCGCAAAATTTGCTATTGATTGGTATATTTTTCATAGAAAATGGAGCATTTTGAGCTATGAGCAAAAACTTGAAACTTTCCAAAAAAAAATTTGATTTTTTATAGATTTTTGAATATCAAATCTAGTTTACATAAAAATTCTGAGAGAAAAAAACCATATTTCTCGGCTCAAAATGTTCCACTTGTCATGAAGAATATATTAATCAATAGGGAATTTTTTTGGAGTTTTACAAAAATTTTTAATAAAAAATCTGAAATCGATTTTTTCAGACAGTTGACTATCGAGTACGCGTTTTGGATGGGGCCAGTTTGGATGCCAAGCAATTGCAGAGGCCGTTAGCTGTTGGAGATAAAGTGGTGGGATTTTGAATTTTTGGGAAATTCGAAATTTTCAAAAAAAAATGTCTGAAAATTTCAGAAAAGGTATATTTTCAGACCTACACCGTTGAGATGAAGGATGGGCAAAATGGCCGGATAGGCAGGTGTTGGGCAAATGATGGCATTTCGGAACTGCCACTT